GTTCTCAGTCATACTTGCAAAAACAAACAAACAAACAAACAAATCTGAAGTCAACCGAAAGCCCAGTTTTGGCCATTATCTCTTGTTCTGCGCAGAAAGTCATTCACATTAAAGGCTTCTTCCCACGTAAGCAAGCACGTAAATCTGCTGGAAAATTGCAATTTACTTCTTCCTGTCTTCCAATCATTCTGGTTATTCACTTAACTCACTTCAGAATTGAAATAAGATTTGGATAAGTTTTTAATGTTAGATTGTTCGAGAGGATCTATTCTTATTTTTTTTATTTTATTTTTTTTGTTTAATTTGGATAAGTTTTTAATGTTAGATTGTTCAAGAGAATCTATTCTTTTTTTTATTATTTTTTTGTTTGTTTTTGTAAGGAAGAATCAGATTTTCCCAAAGACCTACACTGCGGATAAGGTAATGCTGCAGGAACTGAAGCGTGACAGGATGATTCTACAGAGCAAGGTGATCAAGTTTTGTGTCAACCCTGCTACTAAATGTCTATCCTGGTCCATTATATTAAAAGGAATCCGAACAGAGGAAAAAGGACACCTTGAAATCCATACCGGTAACAAGTTAGATCCATCTTATTTGTCTCAGTGCACTTCATGCACTTCTCTGCGTTTTCAGATGGCATTTTTAAATAAAATGGTGTCTCAGAATTTAAAACATGCAGGAGAACTCTGAGATTATAGTCCTTCACATACATATTAGAGATGAACGAAGCAAAAACGTACCAGGTTGCCCATGAAAGGCAAATATAGAACAAAGCAAAATAATCATCACTGTAGAAACCACCTATTTGTGCCAAAGGCCTTTTTTACATCACCTTGAGACAAATTTCTGCATATTTAACAAATACATAACTGCTTTCAATTAGTTAACCAGCACAGAATGAAGTACTCTACTATCCTAAATTATTTTAGGAAAACTAAAGTTTCTTTATGCCTCAGCAGGTAAGGTATCACAAAAATACACTAACAGACAGACAAAGACAACCTGCCATTTAAAAAAAAAAAAAGAAAAAAGAAGGGAATCTTGACTAAATGGGAAGGTAGTTTTTTCAGCCTGAGCTAAGTTGCTTCCTCAAAGCAGCCTCATTGATCCCAGAAAGCCGCCTCATTCTGAAGGTAATAGCTGGTGAACAGCTGCAAAACTTCAAGGAGACTTTTTGGTGGCACACAGTCACTGAGCTGAGAACTAAATTCCTACGGAAAACTTCTAAAATAATCTAAAAGGATGCATTCTTACCGTAGAATGACTAATGTATAAATTCAGAGTACCCGTTTTTCACCTTGTTTCGTTTGATGCCGTGATGTGCAGCTTATGGTGTGGCTCTGCTTTGCTGGGCGGGAGATGGAGCAGGTTCAGCTGGATGGCAGGAGCTGTGCCAGCTCCAGGAGACAGCACCATCAACCCTTGGCAAAACCTGCCTCATCATTCAGCCCAGCGCCCGCCAGCCAGAACCCCACTGCTTGAAGGATGGGAACACTAGGGAGAGACTTTCTGGAGGGGAAATTAAAAATTCAGAAAAGCAAACAACAGAGCGATTTTTTCTGGGGTTCATCGAGATTATGAAAGACTTCTCTCCGCTCCATCCTCCAGGAAATGCAAAAATTTAAATAAACTTGGGATTTGTTTCATTTGGATGCTTTAAATGATTCCTTTGAGCCTGGAAGGCCTATGGTCCCTGAATAGACTTCTGCAGCTGCTGCACCTAATTTCGTTTTGGCACGGAAAGAGGCTGGGACATGTCTATGCAGTGCAGTCTCGTTCTTCTCCCTCAAGCAGGAGCCAGCATCATGATTCAATAAAATTTAGAAGTGCCTTTCATCACCTACATTTGTACGGAGTGATTGCAACTTCAAACAGAATGAATACCAGTAAAGAAAGCAGAGCATTGTTTACAAGGTGACAGCTGACTGGCAGGCAGAAATATAATTATGGATGATAAAAAAAAAAAGGGAAAATGGAAATGCAAACTATTGATTTCTTGGACTAATTTAGTGCTCTGTTCCTGATGTTGATCAACAAGGCATGTTCGCTTATGATAATCCAAGGAGACTTTGTAGTATTCACATGTCACTTAGGACAGTGAAGGGTAAAGGGACTTATTTTTCCCCTTCCTTGTTTTTCTGGTGATCGAAACATATTTGAAAAGAACTGCTGTCTGAAATAGATATAGGATTTCAGGCTCTAATGTAAATTGGTAAACATATTGTCATAATAAAAATCAAAGCAAAGCAATCACCCGCAATTCAAAATCCCCAGCATTATCTTGGATATAGGGATGAAAATATGAACTCTGTCAAGCTGGTTTAGCCTGGTGCGGTGTAAAAAGCAATTTAATATGGATCACAGAGAAGTCAGAAACCAAGACATTGCTGATCCAGAGATCAGCAATCACTGTCAAAGCAGACAAAGCTGCTGTTTCATAGTTCTTGGCCTCTTTCTGCACTGGACTGTCACCCAGCACCTCCCTCCCAAGATATTTGGGATTTGCTTCTGCTTAGGAGGAGAGCTGGCAGACACCCCCCCCCGCCCTCTGTCAACCCATGACACTTGAGAAAAACACAGAAGGGACTCGCCAGTCAGTTCATTAAGGCAGATAAATTGAGTGAGGGAAGGTTCATATATATATTTTGTTTCAAGTCTATTAAATATGCCGAAATTCTGACAGATTAATGACTTGCTCCGTTCCCACTCCCCATGAACAAGAGAAAGATGCTGACCAGCAGAGCACTCAACACAGTCACACAGAGCCTCAGAAATTCTCTCCCATTAGAGACCAACCACAGAAATTAGACTAAAATGAGGTGGGTTTTTTAAAAAAAACCCCAAACATACAGAAACCTTGCTCTGAGTTGATTGTTCTTCATTTTTAGGCTGCCAAAACTAGTAAGTGAAGAATATACATTCAAAGTTTAACCTGCAAGGACAATTCCTATTTTTCCCCCATTTGCTCGTTTAGTACCATCTTTAGATAATCCCGGTTTTCAACTCATTTAATATCCATAGGATAGTGTTAAAAAACGGTTGTGAGTCCTTGGTCTGGGGCTACAAAATGTGAGTTTCTGCAACTGATGGCAATCAAGCACTTCACAGCATTTAGTTTCTAAGAACAGAGAAGGCCAGACAAACTGCTGCATACAACCAGAGCAAAATATCCTTTCTTACAGAAAATCAGTAGCTTGAATGCTAAAGAACTAACTTACAACCTAAAGAGCATTGTTTTGCAAGATCATCTGCCCTGACTAAATAATATTCCAACATACAGAAGAATTAAGCCTTCGAGATTGCAGGCAACAAGCAAAATCATCTATGTCTACAGGATGTCATAGAATCATGGGATGGTTTGGGTTGGAAGGGACCTTCAAGATCATCCAGTTCCACCCCCCTGCCCTGGGCAGGGACACCTCCCACCAGACCAGGTTGCTCCAAGCCCCATCCAGCCTGGCCTTGAACCCCTCCAGGGATGGGGCAGCCGCAGCTTCTCTGGGGGAATGAACACTTGCGTCAGTGATAGAGATTAATACAAATAGTCTGTTGCAAACTCTGTTAAAAGAAATGGCAAGCACTGTTTTTATATAACTTAATTGTGTTGGCTCTATATGGAGTTTTTCCTGCTTTTATGCCCAGCAGCTGCAATGCAGGTTATGATGCTTTTTTTTTTTCCCTCCTCAAAGCTCTGTTAAAGAAAGAACATTATTTAAAACTATGAGAAAGTAATACTCAATCTATGCAATGTACTGGTAACCAAGCTGCTAAAATAAGGATTTTCATAGATCAGAAAATAAGGAACATATTTTTTTAGCATTGCTACCTGTAATCTACAGTTTGGAATTATGAAAAGGGCAGATATTTAGCATCAGATTCTTGGTGGTTTTTTTTTTTTTTTTGCTTGTTGAGGTTTCTTCCTCCCTCTCCAGTTATAGTGTTTGCTTTTTTGGTATAATGTACAAAAAATTAGTAATCTGGCCAGCTGGAACATAAACATATTTCTGCCTTTGATGAATATCATTAGGTGCTAGAGAGTTCTATAATTACGCTATTGCCATATATACGTATGTCTATTAAAATCTCTTAGCATTGATGACAAAGATCAGCTGATTGTAGATATTGTATTAATGACAACTGTGCTACAGGTGGAACTTCTACTTATCAAAAGGCACACCTACAAAAATGCATATTTCTTCTGGTTTTCCACTTTGAAACAGGCTCTGCTACGATTTCGTCTAGCTTACAAAGCAAATACAAATCTCAGCATTTCTTGCCCGTACTAAGAGTTTCATATAGCACGTGTTGTTCACCTAGGAAACCTTCCCTCTTCTACTTTAGCAATTAGGATTTCTGCCTTCCTCTGACTTGAAGGAGGAACGATCCATCACAAGAGCACAAACCAAAATCACGCTGCTCATTTCCGTCACAGAATCACAGAATCTTCTAGGTTGGAAGGGACCTTAAAGATCATCTTGTCCAACCGTCAACCTAACTGACAAAAATAGACACCCGCACAACAAACAAGAAGCATCACCATCACTAAACCATACCTCCCAGCACTACATCAGCCTGTCTTTTGAACACCTCCAGGGATGGGGCCTCAACCACCTCCCTGGGCAGCCCATTCCAATGGCTGAGAACCCTTTGGGTGAAAAAATTTTTCCTAATATCCAGCCTGAACCTCCCCTGGTGTAACTTGAGGCCATTTCCTCTCGTCCTGTCGCCTGTGACTTGAGAGAAGAGACCGACCCCCACCTCTCTACAACCTCCTTTCAGGTAGTTGTAGAGAGCAAGAAGGTCTCCGTCGATCGCTGCAAAAGCACAAGTCCAGAATTTCACCCCAAACTTTTCAAGTGTGTTAGATATTTATATATTTATTCCCAAATGCTAGATACTTAGCGTAAGACCCCTCTGTAAATAACAAGCGGCCGTCTCCAGCCTTGCAATGACGGACAGACTGACTGAAACAAAGGGAGGAGAAAAAAAACCTCTCGTACCGGTGAACTCCACTGTTGCACATAATGATGTGACAAGCCCCGAGCCTGCTGCAGAGCTCGGAGGAGACTGAGAGGAGCCCGACTCCCGAGGCGCTGCAGGCGGTGTAGGCGCAGGCAGCCGTGCGCTTGGACCGGATGAAGGACCCTATCAGTCGGTAGAGTTCATCCAAGCAATTGAGAGGCCTCATCAGCTGCAAGAGAGGAGGAGAGAGACAGAGATATCTTTAAATATTCGCTACCGAGAGCACATGAAATGCTCTTTTAGAGCAGGTCATCACAGGTGTAGCAGAGAAAGCCAAAGCCAAATTCCACAACACAAATACACAACACCCAACCCAAGCAATTGAGAGGCCTCATCAGCTGCAAGAGAGGAGGAGAGAGACAGAGATATCTTTAAATATTCGCTACCGAGAGCACACGAAATGCTCTTTTAAAGCAGGTCATCACAGATGGTACAGCGGAGAAAGCCGAAGCCAAATTCACCAACATAAATACACAGCACACAGTCTTCTGGTTACATTGACCTATGGCAACTTTTTCAAACTTTTAATTCTTACCATCGCTGACGGTTTCATTCTCAGTCCTGCCTACAGAAGTGCTTTTCACTTCAATAGACTGAACATACCCATCAGTGCCATCCCCATTAATGGTACTGGCAGAGAAGGGCATCCGTGAAGAGGCAACCTACAACTGTACCCAGATAGAGGGGGGATGCCAAGACTGGTTAATTGACTCGCTGAGAAAATCAGCTTACAGTTCAGACAACACTGTCCTTTATTTATGCAAATGTCTAGTTCCTAATCTTGACTAACAACATGGAAAAATAAAAGTGAACAGAAGTGACAAAAACATGCTACAAAGCAAGAACAGCTAACTTTGCAGTGGGACTTAAAATAACCTCAGCATTACTGTACAGAAAATAAATGATCCACCCATTAAAGAAGGCAGCTTCCAGTGGAAGGCTGCTCTCAGAGGAGGAACCTTCAAGAGTGGTCTAGCAATGAAAAACATCATCTCATGGTGCTTTGTGTAAAGGAGATGCTCAAAAAAATAGTTTTGCAGGCCTCGTAATTCCAAATTCCTTATTCTCTTTATTCCAAACACACTTAAAGATTCCAGCGAAACTTTTGCTACTCAAAGAATGAATCTTTTGAAAGACAGATTAATTCCCTGATGGGTAATTAGGGAAATGGCAGCCTCACTTGCTCCTGTATCAAGGTTACTTCATTGGAAAGCACAAAGGTCAAATAAATCAACTTAACACCCAGCATATTTAAACCTGGGCACAAACAGCTTTAACTTAGTTTAGGTCCTATTGGTTTAACTTGCATCCATTTGAATTGACTCTAGCTGGCCATTTCCTAATGCAGAGCTGTGAAGAAGAGAGCAAAAGGTACAGCCACCATCAGACCACGCACTCTTAGCTTCCTCCAATTGCAAAATAAATGCATTAGTTTGACTCTAGCATCCCTTGGTGACATCTGGATTAGGAGATGCTTCCATCTTCCCCTTGAACTTTTAACTGAAGTAGTTAGGGACCAGGTTTGAAGGTAACAAGCATATTTCCTATAGCTAAATGTCCCCTGCTGCACCTCTGACTGCTTAGGACATGAGGTTGCTGACTCAGCAGGGAAGGAGAGGCACAGGAACGTGTCCTCCTCCCTCCCGTGCAGTCCAGCGTGCATCCAAGAAACAGGAACTATCAAGTCAAGTCTGTTAACACCCATGCTGGATGATGCTGACATGAAAATTTCAGCCTGTCACAGGGTTCAGCTGGTGATCACTGCATTTCTCAAGCCCCTGTAGCTCCACTATTTCTGAAGTCAGTGTAGGCAAGACATTAGGAACTCCTTTTTTTCCCCCTACTGGGTTGCAATACGGGCATTAACTCTTCAACAATGGGAGAGAGAGCATTAAATGAATTTTCATAGCCCCTGGGATCTCGCAGTCACAGAGGCTTAAAGACAGATGAAGGCATTTGAAGAAAGCCTAAATGAGGAGGTTCAGAAGAAAGCCTTCTGAGCAGGATGCTGAAAGAGTATTTAATTTGGAACAGCGCTTCCAGTTTTCAGAACAAAGACTTTCTGCCTGCACTTGCTCTCCCCACACCCTACCCTTCCACCCCGACATCCTCCTGGAGCAACTGCTTTGCTCTGAAAGCACAGGGAAAAAGGAAAGATGTGGTTCCCCTTCTCAGATATACTGATACCCTCCAGCCACAGCTTTTCGTACAGAACCAGATGGCACCACGTACCTTAAAACACAGGTGAGAGAAAAAGCTGCAAGAGAGCTCCTCTTTTCTCTACCCAACAACCCAGCTTTAAATAATTCATTTTTTCCGATGGAATTAAGAAAGGCTCAGGAAAGGATTACAATAACACAATGTGTAACGTGCAAAGTTTAATTAGGTACTTAACATTTTTATTTACCTTATCTATATAAGCCGCTTTAGATGTTGAATTTGGAGGCAAGTTTGATTTGTCCAGGTAGAACGCCCTGAAAGAATAAACAGAATAAGGCAAAAATTGTTAATTGTTTAAACTCCTGAACAAAATGTATGTAAGCGACTATTCTTAGACACCATCTTAAAGTTGGAATTATTTTTTTTTCCTAATTTCATGCTAAGAGAGGATCAAGGACCAACACGTGGGTAAATAGGCACTATCACTCTTTCTTTGAAAGTAATAAGGAATATCTTTTGTTCTGAAGACAAAAACTGTCCCTCTGCCCTTTGACAGTACAGTGCAAAATTTTAATGTCTAGTTAGTGTTAAAACTGGATCTGAAAGTGATTTTCACCAAAGCTGTCCATGAAGAGATTTGTGGCAACTTAATAGATTTTAATAGCGACTTCGGGGAAACTTGGCATATCAGCAGCACCTGGACCTCATGCACTATAAGCTTTTTTTTATACTAGCTGTATAGAATACAAATATATAGCTGCAATAAACTAAAACCAGAATCCCAAACACAGAAAAAACAGAGGAAACACACCCAAGCTCACAATATACAAAGAAACAAACAAGGAAAAACCCTCCAAGGGACAAACACGCATCATACGAGACAAATGGCCTTTGCAGTGTGTGTGCTCATGCACGCGTGTGCCAATACAAACCAAACTGCCTTTCTTTACAATTTCTTTGTCCACACTTCTTTGAAAAAGCCACAGTAGACTGTCATTTGCCCGCAGAACACGACTGTGACAGAGAAAGCAGACTTACTGTATCTGATTTATCTATTGTCTACTGAAGCTCATCAACCCACACTCTCCCAGCTCCTTCTGTAACCTTCCAATTATCAATGGACAGTACTAGAAAAAGTTTCTATAGGACAAAACAAATGCAACAAGCATAGTTTTAAAAGACAAAGGTTGGCTAATTTCTGCGTGGCACAAAGGAGGGCTTCCACGCTATCTCTTCTCTCTTAACCCAGGAAAATTTCTCTTGTTCAACAGCAGAGAGAAAGAGCTTTAGCAAAGAGCACACGGGGAGCACAGAGCTATTCTTCTCCTTCAACTCCGGAATCCTAGAGGGATTTTATTTTTTTTCTTTCTACCTTATAAGAGTGATTTTCACCAAAGCTGTCCATGAAGAGGTTTGTGGCAACTTAATAGATTTTAATAGTGACTTCGGGAAACTTGGCATATCAACAGCACCTGGACCTCATGCACTATAAGTTTTTTTTATACTAGCTGTATATAATACAAATATATAGCTGCTTTCTACCTTATAACCAAATTAATTGCTTACCACAGATGAGCTGTGATTAAACATCTCATAGGCAGAGGAAATATCTTGCATATCTCTGCAGTAAGATTAGTTTCTCTGCCTCTGCAGCATCGCTTAAGGAAAAAAAAATTAAAAAAACCTATTTTCCCTGCCCCTGGCAGGGGGGTTGGATCAGATGATTTTAATGGTCCCTTCCAACCTGAACCATTCTGATTCTCTGATGACAAAACTCATTCTGCTGGTTGAAAAGGCTGCTAAAACCTGCTGGGGCAGCTGAAAACAGAACCACCTGATAGGCTTTCCTGCCTGGATGAGGCATCCAGGGAGAACCAGGCAACAGCTACCACAGCAGCAATTCTGGCCAAGGTTAAAATATAACAAGCCAAGAAAAACCCCTCCAGACTATAGAACGTGTAGGAAAAAAACACCCCAAACAACCAGATTCTCCAGAGGAAACCTGAAGGTATCACTATGACCCAGCTCTGCTGCCTGTGCACAAGGAGCAGACCTGACGGTCACAGCTGAGCCATGACCCAGGCTGGAAATTATAGAGAAGTGTGGTAACCCCATTTCAGTTGCAATAAAATATGAAAAAACCCCACCCAAACACTGAAACCAATGCATCCTTGCATCCTGACTGTAAAATGACAGAATCACCTGGATCTTCCAGTCAGGAAAACACTAATTCGTATAACAGACATGGATAAAAATTACGCTCTCCCTTTTTTTATGGTTTTATCCATGAGAGAAGTTATGTTTTCCCTGCCCCTGGCAGGGGGGTTGGATCAGGTGATTTTAGTGGTCCCTTCCAACCTGAACCATTCCGTGATTCTCTGATGACAAAACTCATTCTGCTGGTTGAAAAGGCTGCTAAAACCTGCTGGGGCAGCTGAAAACAGAACCACCTGATAGGCTTTCCTGCCTGGATGAGGCATCCAGGGAGAACCAGGCAACAGCTACCACAGCAGCAATTCTGGCCAAGGTTAAAATGTAACAAGCCAAGAAAAACCCCTCCAGACTATAGAACGTGTAGGAAAAAAACACCCCAAACAACCAGATTCTCCAGAGGAAACCTGAAGGTATCACTATGACCCAGCTCTGCTGCCTGTGCACAAGGAGCAGACCTGACGGTCACAGCTGAGCCATGACCCAGGCTGGAAATTATAGAGAAGTGTGGTAACCCCATTTCAGTTGCAATAAAATATGAAAAAACCCCACCCAAACACTGAAACCAATGCATCCTTGCATCCTGACTGTAAAATGACAGAATCACCTGGATCTTCCAGTCAGGAAAACACTAATTCGTATAACAGACATGGATAAAAATTGCACTCTCCCTTTTTTTATGGTTTTATCCATGAGAGAAGTTATTCACATTGTTACACAACTTCAGGGCCAGGGGTGCAGACTGCGGATTTGTAGACTCCTATTCTTCAATAATCTGGAAAAATTGAGTTGATAAAATCCAGCCACCTTTAATTCTAGTCGATTTTGCTTCCCATAGCTTTGCAGCTTTGAAAAGCATCTTCTCCCAAACTTCAGGCTTGAATTAATCCCCTCAGAAAGCCCAGCAAAGCTAATCAAGTTCTCTTATTCCATTAAGCCTGTTGCACGATCCAGAATGTACTCTGAGTCAAAGGAAGCTGGAGACTATTGGAAGGAAAAGAGCTTTGCAGAGAAAATTACTCATAAATCACTTTGAGTGGTCACAGCACATAAAAGCTACCTCGGCAGCAACAGACCAACCTTTCTCTTTGTTAGAAAAGCTGAAAAACAAAGCATTGCCCTGCCGTCCACTGCACATCATCAGACTGAAAGCCTTTACTGTTTTTTTCTTTTTCCCCTGCCACGCCACAGGAAAATCTGCCTCATTCAGAGTCTGTTCAGCACTCCTATTCTCTTTGGACTGTTATTTCAGCAAATTCAGCTGCATTAAATGAAACCAGAAACCAAATATAGACCAGTACACACACTAATGGAGTACACAGAAAATAATCAACTCAGGGTACAAAATGAGGCGACATGGCCACGAGAATGGGATATACAATTATAGGAATTACTCCATTAATTCAGTCAATTATTCATTAACCTAAAGAACAAACAAAAATCAGCGGTACACAACATTCATTTTAAGCATCAAAATATCCTGTTACAAATGAAACTATTCCCCCCTCCTCCCCAATCAGATAACACTCCCAGATGTTTCTCAAGTGCTTTATTTTTATTGCTTTTCATAAAAACTGTCTTCAGTATTTTACAGAACATGACAAACTGTGGACAGCACATAAATTTCCAAAGCACTTCACTTAATTACTAAATGCTTGTTAAGGTCCTTAATCATATTTTATGGGAAAAGTTAATGGCAATCTTGGCATGGTGCCCAATATGGACAATATTTTCTAATCCATTTGAAATGAACAAGAATGAAATCATAGTTCTTTGTCTGCAAATGTGATGCTGGTTTTGCTTCTAAAGGCCTTACAATTTCTCTAAAATGTAGCAGAAAAAGCCGTTCTTTAAAAAAAAAAAAAAAAAAGGCAGGAAACCCAGTAGGCATTAAAACTAAAGGGGGTTATTGCTGTGTTCCACTATTGTAAGGTATCCCCTATGTAACAATGTCAAACAATGAGACGTATCTCAGGGCGTATCAAAGTATCTCAGGGAAAACATACACTGGAATCCAGTAACAAACATCTTAGGGTTCAAAAAGAAAAATCTATCACAAGATTAATGTTTTTCCCAAGACATTTCCCCAGAACCTGAGTACAAAGGAGATGAAGAAGCACTGATGTTTTCTTAGTGAAGCATTTTATAGGGTACCCTCCAAAACTGACCCAGCCATGTAAAATCCTGAAAATTTGAAATACTGAAAAATTTAACCCTAAGGAGGCTCCAAACCTGTAGTTTGCAGGAGAGACGTGCATTCCTGAGCAACTTTGTACATGAAAATACATCAAGCAAAGCCAAGTTTCTAGTCTTACTCTCAGTTTGTTGTTCCAGGAAGCCCATAGGGTTACCCTAGACATTGGTCATCTTTTCTTCAAGATACAAGGACAGTAAAGCAGTGATTGGAATAGGACAGAGGGCGAGGGCGGGTAATTTGGTTATGGCATTAAATAAATGCAAGTTGGGGGTTCTGCTCTAGAAAGGTTTTGATTTTTGTTATAGCAGAGAAGAATTTAGTCTTTTATATTTTCTTCATCACTGTGGCATACATACAAATAAATACATACTGTCTTCAACAGAAGGATGGAAACATATTTTAATTCTCCTTGATTTTTCAATCCCTTGGTCACAAGGTATTCAAGACCATGTAAATAATCATGGTTAACAATGCGGCAAAGGGTATGTCAGTAA